TAAGCTTATACAGACAAAATCAGTCATTTCTCATTTTTTTGCAATGAATCGGTAAGATGAATTCACAATAAGATATTCAGATGAATTCAAATGAATTCTACAAATATTCTTCTACGCAAATGTTTTTAAGTCGATTTTTTTACAGCAAAATCTTCGAAATTATTTAATGTTTTACACAGCCGTTTTATTATGTTATGTCCTATCAGTGTAGCCCGCAAATAGAAGCCACGAAAGCGTAACCACGCGGACAGTGCCTTTTGTCCGACGATAGCCATGATTCTGTTTGCAATCAACGAAGTGTCGCCTCCCGGCACTGACGGGCCCGTCCGCGCGAAAAATCCGTCAAAGTGCTACAAATCTACGCCGCGATGCGCCGATTGACAGTTGTCGAATGCAGAAAGATGCGAGGAGAGTAACTGCGCGCTCTGGAACGAGGAAAGCGGCAGTGATATATCGCCTTACCCTTCGCGATCGCGTCCGTTTCGATAAATTCCGCAAGAGTCGGGAAACCCGGCAGTCCTTCAATTTCAAATATGAAAAATCGATTAACGTCCAGCTTCATCGACAACGGACAATTTATTCGCGGTTACGCATTTCTGCAGATTATTTTTCTTATAATCGAGAAAAAGAATGACTATTAACAGGTTTTCTATTACCTGTGAATGCTCTCATCGATCGGAAGTCGATATTTTTCTTAGCGAAAATGTTATTAAACGTACGCTATCTTTTTCAAAGATCCTTCTTAATTTTAGCTATTTTTATTTTATCAAATTAAAATTTACAAGTGAAGTTAAAAGAAAATTTCTTATCAAATATTAAGCTTGAAGATTAATAATTTATTTTATTTGTGTTTTAATTTTTGTTTCTTTTTTTCTGCATTTTTTAAATACATGAAAATTAAAAATATCGATGAATTATTTATCAAAAAAATTGAAAATAAAGTCTTGAAAAAAAAATGACATCTCAAATTTATATTCTTTATAATGAGACGTGTTATGTTTGCACAGCTGAGATACGATAATCGTAACATTTATCTAACAGTAAACCTGATAATTTAATGGAAAGCAGGAGTTTGTAACCTTAGCTTTATTTTCCTTTACACTCTATTGCATCTTTATATAAATTTCCATCATTTAATACATTTGTGTAATATAAATTATATAATAATTCAAATTATAATTATATCTCTGTGCGCAAACATAAACACCTTAAAACCATTACAATTAAACAGTTTTTACGTCAAAGCTACGGAGTTAAGCCTTATCAAAATTGAGAAATTGCTACGAGGATTTATTCTAGACAAAAAAACATGTAATAATTTAATAGTTTTTTGTAACATAATGCAATGTATATATATATATATATATATATATATATATA